AATGTGGATGTGTAACCGAAGTGATTCTGCAATCTGTATTTGGGGTAAAAATGGGAGTTCATAACCCACTTGAATCTAATGTATGAAATATGATATGTCAAGAGCTTTGTAATGTTTTGAACAACCAATAAAAAAATAAAATAAAATGTGTAAGTGAACAATCTATAAGCCACTTAATTTGAATCCCAATGGAATTAGAAATAATATAGAAACAGCTATTTTAAGGACATTAGCAAAGTAAAATAAAAAACATTCACACACACACACACACACACATACACACTCTCTCTCTCTCTGTCTCTGTCTCTCTCTCTCTTTCTCTCTTTGTCTCTCTCTCTCTCTCACACACACACAAAAAGATCAAGAAATGAAACAAAGACAAAGCCTGAGGTTTTTCTTCTGTTTATATATTTGTAGTCAAGGCTTATGAAAGTCCTGAGGAGTGAACAATTTGAAAGCATTTGGAATCACCATACCTATAAAAAGACAAAAACAGTGAAATTGATATAAATAGTTCTAGGGAAATACAGATTTATTTTAAGGCAGAAATTTAGTACTTTGGTCTGTTTGGAATTTTTTTTTGATAAATCACAGTAACACCCTTAGTGGTCTCACAGTAATATTAAGATGTATTCTGTAAAGTTTGACACTGATGCTGATAGTGCAAAAGCAACAGTGGATAAAATTTCTCATGCTTTAGAAGAAATCAAAGCATTAGCACTAGTCTTATTAGTAATCAGTGGGTTCTTTACCACACACAATTATTTGTACATGTACATATAATTGTACATATATGCATATATAATTTCTCATTATTCTCAGTAGATATATTCTATGAAATCATCATGAACCCTGAATTAACAAATACTGGAATACTGCTCATGGGGAGATACAAGAGTAGATTTTTGGGCCCTCCAGTCCGAGTATTTTCAGCAACCAATTAACATATGACCTTGCTTGATGTGTTTCCGTTCAAAGATACCTTGTTTAATATATACTGTTGATCTGTTAACAYTGAATGATAGCCAACAGCATTTTAACTCCTAAGCCTGAAAGAAGCTTATCAAATGCACATTTTCTCTGGAAGACTCATCCTAACCTTTTTATGTTTGGAAACACTACATAGCACTTCAGCACAGTATTTAGAGGCCATTTTACGCAGAAAAACCATTTACAAAAATCATAAAAATGAGAAAACACGGCACTAAAGAGGCTGCAAAATGGGAACTTGCTTATATCATAAGATTTGAAACAAGTGTCAGAGCATCATTGCCTTTTTTGATCTTATCTGAGGATGTGTACATCTGATGGATAGGGTCATTTACTACTCTAGCCAGTCCAAGATGTCTGCCAAAGACTGGAAAGTATTGATTTTATGGTTACAAATAAACTTTGGCAAACTAGAAAATTTGCAAATGAGAATTTTTCAATAATGAGGATTATGGTATTTATACATGAGTATGAACATATGAATACCAAATCATTTAATGTTTATGATAGAGCATAAAAAGTATTAGATCTTGATCCTTGAGAACGCATGTGTGTGTGTGTGTGTGTGTGTGTGTGTGTGTGTGTATATATACATATATATATATATATATATATAGAGAGAGAGAGAGAGAGAGAGAGAGATTGACAGATATTCTGGATGACAAAATGGAATACCACAGAAATCATTTCTGTTGGATATAGAAACATCTTGAGGGAGTTTTGCAAGCTGAGCTGACCACCGTTTTCATTGAACATCATATTTTACTAGAAAGGGTGTGTCGGACAACTATTGCCTTTTAGACATAATTGTTTGGTAGACATTGTCTTGAAAATGGAAAAAGGTGCTCCTTTTACTTAAAAACTTTAAAAAAGTTAAAACTGCCATTTGTTGTGAATGATAAAGTTCAAGTTTCGAGAAACCTGTTTCTGCCATGTCAAGTTTGATTGGTCTCCAATCCTTTTAATGATTATGATGGTGATATTGACCAATGTGTTTTCTAGGATTTTTTTTAAAGAGAGAGGAGAGAGAGAGAATTTTAATATTTATTTTTTTAGTTTTTGGTGGACACAACATCTTTATTAGTATATGGTGCTGAGGATCGAACCCAGGCCGCACGCATGCCAGACCAGCGAGCTACCGCTTGAGCYACATCCCTAGCCCGTTTTCTAGGATTTTATAATGAAAAATTTTAATATTTAAAATATCTAAACAACTTGGTGCATCAGTATTTTCCACATGATCAACATATGATGTCATAATAACTTGATGGAAAAAAAAATCCACTTGAAAAGCAAGATAGACCTCTAGATTTAAATGTCAGAGTGAAAATGTTTATTGATATGGCTTCAGATACGTCGCTGCAATTAAACTTGAGGAAACCTAAGTTTTGTATCAGACAAGAAAATCCATAATCATCTGAAAAGACTTAAAAACACTTCCATTTTTTAAACTATGTATCTGTGAGAATGGGTTTTCTTCCATACACTATAACCAAAACACTCTGTAGAAACGAATTAAATACTAAAACAGGTAACAGAATCCAGCCTTCTTCTATTAAACTAAATATTGAAGAGATTTATAAAAATGTAAAGCAATGCCACTTCTCACAATTTTTTCCATGCAGTTAGGTGTTAAAATTACATGTTCATATATAATAGTTTCATTTATAATAAATAATTTTAGATATTAAAATTGTTATTTTAAATGCTAATATGGTGAATTTTAATAGACTTAATCCATCTAAACAGAAGCTCAATGAAGCCTTTTACAATTCAGGTAAAAGAGTATTAATACTAAAGTGACTAAGGCTCACTGCTGTATGTCTCTGCAAGACTATATCCAAACGTGAAACAGTTAACGTCTAGACTGGGTAGATGAGCTTATAGCAAACAAATTCTTATTCCTAGAATAATTAGAAAAACTCAATGAAATAAAAGAACAATGATCTGTTTGAAAGGATCAAGGAGCTACTAAGGAACTACCATCCCAGCCAGGATGAAGGGTCCAAGAGAAAAAAGAAATACAGTGAGTGAGGTCTTCTACTYTGTTCCTCAGAACATTTACTGACTTATAATTACCATGGACCAAGAGATTAAGAAACTGATTAGGAATTTTTAGTCATTTTTTTGGGCTTGAGGAGACAAGAATTATTGGAGAATGAGTCTAATAAATCGGGACTTAACAGGGTTCAATGTCATAGAAAAGGAAAACTGTTCTCATCCGTCCAGCCTTCTGCCTCGGTTCCTTCTTGAAGCATTTTCCAATTCATAAAGTACAGGCAGATGAGATAAGCTACCCCAGAACAGCCGTGATGAAGCTGGAAAGCAAACAGTACGTAAGTATTCTTGTTAATAGAGAGGACTATGGTTGGTTGAAGGGCTTTGCTGTACACTCAAGCCTTTCATTGTAGGCCCCTAAAGAACCATGCCCCAGGAAGGAAGGTGGAAGAGTAAACTRTCAGGTTCTTCAAAGACTGAACTCCAATTGTGATTGGCTGAGTCTTTTATTAGGTTAAATTGGGCAGTTTCTATTTTAATTGCCTGCCAGAATGTAAAGAAAACCACTGGAGAATTAAGATATTGTCTAGTGTTTCTAGAAAAACTATAGATAATAAAAATACCCATTGGTGACCCTTATATTGGTGCTATTAAGTATAGACTTTAAAATAATGGAAAATTTTAGCAGATACTTGGGATTTGTTTTTTAAAATTATACATAAATGCTAAATTTGAAAAATTAGAATAATTGGAATTAAGAACACAACTGATAGGTTTAGAACCAGATTCAACACAGCTTATCTGCATAGTAGATTAGAAAGAAAAAAATCTATATTTAGACAGGGAAAATATTTGGTAAGAATTTCCTCAAATTAACTGAAGATATTAAACTACAGATTCAAGAACAATCAGGATAAAGGAAAAGAAAACTAAGCTGGGAAATACAGTAAAAGTGCAGAAAGACAAAGAAAAAAATGATAAAAGCATCCAGAGGCAAAAAAGAAAAGACATAAAGACAAGACAAATGACTTTTTCAAAGTACTAAAATGTTAACTATAGCCATTGAAGATATCCTTCTTATATTAATTAAGAAATTATTTTAAATAAACAAAAAATGGAAAAATTCATCAAGAGATTTCATAAAATTTTTTTTTCTGGATGCATGATCTTAGAAAAGAGCCTTGTAACACAGGGGAAAATGAAGAGCAATTGAAATAGCAAGTGTGTAGGTAGATCTAGAGGAATATTGACTACATAAAGTGAAATTGCCATATGGGAATTTATATTTGAAATATAAGTGAAATAAAACATATGGCAATGTTAATACAAAATGTAGGAGAGATGTAAACTGTTTAAAGGTTCTCATTGGGAAGTGACAAAATGAATTGATGATACATGTTATAATCTCTAAGGTAGCTACAAAAGAAACAGTGAATGCTAACAAACCAGCACAAGACAAAAATTGGAATAATGAAACTATATTTGATCCAAAAGAAGGCACAAAAGAAAAAAATGGGAACATAGGTGTGATATAAATAACACATAGAAGAATTCATATTAAAATTTTTCCTATCAGTAAAAATAAAAATAGCTTAAAAACTCTAATCAAAATTTGAAGTTTCTCTGTGGATAAGAAACAAATCCCAATTATATGCTATGACAAAAGACACTTCTTAGCTACAAGGGCACAGAAAGATTGAGCAAAACCTTGGAAAAAGATAATGTTTTATGTTTGTAGGATATGCACAGTAAATGTTCTGTGGCCTTTGAGAATAAGGCTTTTTCTAATTGCTTTGAAGTTTAGTGAATTATGTAAAATTAGGCATGTCTTATATTTAAAATGTTTTCTCTGAGATTTCATGTTGCATTTCTATTTTAAGTTTTTCATTATGGAAAATTCAAAATATATGCAAGAATAGAAATAATGCAATGATTATGACTTACTCTTTATTGAGTTTTGATAATTATTAGTACTTGGCTATTCTTGCTTTATTTCTCCATTTCTTTAGCTATTTCTCCATTGTAGAAATATAAGGAACTTTAAAGGCCCTTGAAAAGTAAATCAAAGTCAGGAATGCTATTCATGATATTTATTGGTATGGTATAATCAACTGCAGCAATTCTTAGGTATCATATGATTTTATCAATAACTATTTTAGCTTATAGAATTTAAAAACTCTTTAAAAGTAGTTATATTCTTGTAATAACTTAAAGAAATGAAAATGGGCTGGAGGTTGGGTATGGAGAAAGATTTCTGATGTGTATGGACTTTCTTAGTAGAGTGAAAAAAAAAGTTCCAGAATTATATACTGATAGTGGTTGTACAATCTTGTGAATATACTAAAAACTACTGAATTATGCCCTAATAAAAGTTAAGTTTCAGGTTGGGTGCGGTGGCACATGCCTATTATCCCAGTGTCTTCGGAAGCTGAGGCAGGAGGATTGTGAGTTCAAAGCC